AATAGTAATAGTAATAATAAGGATATTGCCTAATCCACAACTTTTGCTGAAGATGTACGTGTATAGGACACACACAGCTTGTCCAAAACTGGCAGAATCATGAGCCTGCACCTTGCCGACAAAATAGGCGTGCTAATTTAACTAAGGGCCTTTGGTCATAACGAAATGAACTGAACACAGTGAGCCGTTGGATATTGTGGACAAACACAATGGCCCTTGGACGTATGGGATTAACCCAGTGGGCCCTCGGACATAGCCTTTTGAGCCCATTCTCTCGAAGGGCTAAGGGTGAGATCGGAGGAAACTGAAATATCCATTGGGCCAAATGACGAAATGGACCAGGCATAATGAACTTACAGACAAATTGGCCGGATACTTTGGTCCTACTCAGTGGCAAGGCATGATGGCCCGTGAACGTAAACGGGCCGGCGAATGTGAGGCCTCGGATATATATAAACTCAGGCCGGACATGCTGGGTCACAAACGTTTGCGGACATTGTGGCCAATGTGGGCCATGTGGACGTAGGCCTGGTGAGCTGTTGCACACTACAAACTTGCTTACAGATGGACCCACCGTTAAGGTCTACGTTGGCACTGAAGGTTGATTAAAAAGACTGAACTTGAGCACAAGTAGGCCGCTTTTGGAGGTTTCTTATTACTAGCATGCATAATAAATGCGTTTCTTTTGAGTCACACGTGAGTTCATAATCGACTTTCTGACAGAATGCCAAATTTAATTTCAGTCGAATCTTCTTAGTTCTGTGATCGAATACAAACTACATTTCAGTGCTGGCATAACTTAAACCACTTTTTATGGCACCATGCTTAAACTGATACACAATATATTCTCATGAAGTATGTGCACCGGCCAGAAGGTCATGTAGTCTTTCTTGTCAATCGTGGTTTGATCGACCCTGGCCGCGGCACGCACGAATTCTTAACTGCCTAATCGCCGCTCTCGTGTCCGTCTTCAACTGAATCCTCTTCGTGTTTCTCCTAATTGTGTTTGAATGTGAAAAACATCAACTGCTGCAGGCGTTCCCTGAGCTCGTTCGCCTGGATCTTTCCCTGGCTGGATAAACCTACGATGTCTTCAACCTCGTGCTGGACAAAAGGCGGTGCGTTGTCCAACAGGGATTCCAACAGGCCTCTGGCAGCGCTGATTACGTTGAACTTGGCGTTTAGTCCGTAACACGTGGAGTTGACGCACGGCACCAGACCGGTGTCGCTGTCAACTGTGGAGAAGACATTCACATAGTAGGTAACTCTATCGGTATCTTTTAAAGATCAAATTACGTTTGAGATTTTTAAATGTACGTTTGTGTAACCAAACTTATCAGAATGATCCACCCTGACAGACATCGTGACTCTAATTTTTAAAGAGTTAATTAATATGAATTTTCTTTGATCACGCACTATTCAAACGTAAAATGTTAACGTTTTCTCTAAAAGAGCCTCGCGGATCCACCCCAACGACATTTTCTCCGATGTTATCACAGTGCAATGTTTAAAATGGAGCCTTGAGCAAGGTAAGGCGAAAGACTGTGTGCCGCCTGTGGGGTGGGGTTTGGGTTATGCTTAACCTTTGAATTAATGGAAATGATCTGGGTTAGGGTAAGAAACAAGCATTCAATTTTTGTGGTAGTTTTAGAGAGAGCAAATTGAATCGAAATTTTCAGAGATCAGGATTTTGTACGGGTTTCAGAGAAAGGGAGAGTTAATGCACA